AGAGGCCTGTTTTCGAGGACTGAACGGTCGTAACGGAAGGCGCGCACGCGAGCTACTTATTTTAAATAATGTTTTCAAATGGGGCGAAATACGGAACCCTTGTGCATCGTAAATAAACGGATAAAGCAATGCGATAAAAGCGATGACTTAGAAAAAAGGACAAACGAAGCAAATTTCGATGTAGAAGTGTTATCCACTTATCACATGCTTTAAAGAAATTAAAAATTGTAGTAATGATTATATAACTATTATAGTAAAGATCGTATAGATCTTAATGATATGTAATTATACATTCCTAGTAATTATATATATACATGTATAATAAGAATAACTCTAAAATGCTACTGTGAATTTTTATCCATACATTTTTAAAGAGTTTTTATTATTAAAATTTTAATAGCTTAAAATAATAAGATTGCTTAATATTAAAGATTATTAATATAGAACCTGTTTAATAATATTATAGTTACATTTTGCCATATTATTATTTAATATATCTACTCAAAGTTGAAGATTATTTAACATTATCACTTTTTATTTATTAAAACAATTCAATTATTCTAGTTTACAATCTGCGAAGTAAATACAATATAAAAAAGTATAAAAATTTTTTTTTAATTATGTGGATGAATTTTCGCCTTTTATGTGAGTGTTGTAATATAACAAAAATATAAATAACATTCTAGAGTTAAACAGTATACATGTATATAGAAAAAAGATAGAAAAAATTAATATTTTCATATTTCTGATTATGTAGTTCAGTTTCAATAGAAAGTGAATTATTAATATCAGATAAAGTAAGAAAATTTTGCAGTACACACATTTATATAATTTTACATTACTATCACAATAACAAAAAGTTAACTAAAATAATAAATTATGATATAAGAGGCTCTATATGCTATTGGCACTTTGACCTTATCCTATTATACAAAGTTAACTAATATATCGAAGTAATTTTTTACAATACAAAAACGAAAAGCAAAGAGATTCGAAATCAATTATCTTATTATTTCTGTAACAAGTGTTACCGCTCCCGCATTCCAAATAATACTGTAATTTAACAGCCCGTATATCTCTCATCCCACATCGGGGATTGTAGTGATTTTTAACTCCGAGATAGCTTTTGATGGATTTGTTTTTTGTTCCTGTACTAGATTGCACAATATTTTTTCTCACTTCTAAATATCAAATAAATACCTATTTCACGTTAAGTTCCAAAGGCGTACATCACAACTCAGTTATAAAAAACAGACTTTACCGATAAATCGGTGCTTAAATAAGGTGTACTTTTTTTTTATTAATTTCGTGATATTGTTAATGCCGATGTTTTATGAATAGATTTTCAACCTATTATAAAATAATAGGTACGATATATATTCCAGAACACGATTACATATGAATTATAGAATACGAAAATATATACAAAAAATAAGAAGAAATAAGTAACAACCGGACACAAAATTGTACTACATTGTTAAATCATATTTTAAAAAAACAATTATTGCAAATGCAGTTAAACAACATATTAAGTTTTAGATAATGAAACAACCAGTGAACAAAGGCGTCAAAAACAAATGATAGAACAACAGAAGCATAGAGTAAAAATAAATACGATTATTCCTTTTTTAAACTACTCTGAAAACAAGCTAAAGTAACTAAAAAAACGTAAATAGTACTAGTCAAATAACCAGGAAATTCGAAGATATTTTAAGAAGAATTCTTCGTTGAAATATGGGCAAAATATGTACACAGAAAAGTGCTTGACATCTTCTCGAAAGAGCAAAGAAGCTTACTTTTATCAAACAAAAAATTAATCAAATAAAAATTTCTACATTACCATACCACTTGCACATGGAAATCATTTTTATACCTTCCTTTCTTTATTTTTCTCTCTCTCCTACAAATTTGCCTTCTATCGCATCCAAAAATATGCAAAAAGATTTGCACGCAAAAGCCGTTCGACAATATTTGGAAAGTTGGAAACATCTTTCCACCTGCTTGAACAAATATTTCCATTTCGATGCAAAGTTTCTCAACGCAGGTATTTCTTGATCCAAAAAGGAAAACTTTATTGAAACACACACAGATCCGAGCATCGCATAATTATTATATTATTATATTGTTACGTTTGCATTTCATCAAATATCAGTAGAATTCAAAATTACACATTTCTTCTCAAATTTCTTGCATTCTAACCTCTCTTGTAAATTCTTTTCGTTAGGACTGCCAGATCTTTCGCAAGAATCTGCTAGTAAATGAGCGCGGATGGAAAATTCATTTCCTAGTTATGAACTTTCGAATATGAGTTGTGCTGTCTATATCGCAACGACGATAAATGTTCTGTCGGTGAAGGAAAATTGTGCGCCAGCTTGTTGTACCGAGACGAACTTGTCATGAAAATGCATGGAGAATGTTCTCGCGACATGCGAATGCATGAATTGTATGTACATGGGCTAACTATTACATTCGAGATACATATTTCCATATACCTACTATATAGAAAGAGGATATGAATAATCGGTAATTTCGTCGCGTGATATATGTACATATTTGAAGTGTTTTGTATCTTTCAAAATCTTAGGCGTCGATAAAATAATTATTCAAGATATTACAGGTCGCTGATTTATAAAACCGTAGATACAAGCGTTGTCGATTAGTCGATTGTATTTTAATGCGATAAATTGATTCCTAAAGACTGTTCGTTACAATTCCATTTTGCACTCTTACGCTTTTTCATTCGAGAGAAAAATAACTGCCGTGTATCGATCGCACGTGTTTCCTTCGTCCCCGACATATAGCGATTTGCATTCGATTCTACTCGCGGTTTAATTGAAAGCCGTCGGGTGCCGTAATTAACGCGCGTGGTATAACGTTTCTCAAAAGACCAGATCTAGGTATTATATAATTATACAGTAGAAAGGTGGCAACGAATATATTTTCAAATTTCACGTAGAGGAGATTGGAGAAATTGTGAGCACGAAGTAAACGCGAACGGTACTATTGAAATACCATATATTAGAGAAGTAATAATCTTTCATTTCTCGCATCCAATAATAGTCCAATATACGCTTATTGTTAGTGCTGTAATAACGCACTATAATACGTGACCATATATAGAACGTACACGCTTTAAAGTAAAGACCGTTGCATGCTTTAGATAATTTCGATGTAGTAGAAAATGTAGTTTGCGGAAATCTAAGGAAAAAGTTAAATAAAACCGATGATTATTTACCAATTACAGAAGCTTTTATTCAAAGGATATTGATTTTAAACTACAATAATTTTAAACATTTATATATTATTGATTTAAATTGAAATTTTAAACAAAAAACAAAACCAATTCGGCATTGCTCCGCATTACGACGAGTAATTCCAAACAAGAGTTTTATTTTTTGTGTTTCAAATTATAGTTTCTACCGATACATAAAAATATATAAATTTAATTATTATTAATTTATTATATTATTAATTTAAAGTCAGATGATTGGAATATATCTTTTAAATAATGACTTTTATATTAACTAATAAATAATTATCTTTATTTAATTTTTCTCTTAGATGTTTGCAATTTCCTGCGAATTTTCTCTACCGTACGACAAGCGATTCGTTAGTTTTAGAATTTAATATTTGATTAATTACGCCGGCATTTGTACTCTCCATTGTGTATTATATATTTTAACCTTATACTGTAAAAAATGTGGAAGAACATAAATTTCATTCTTCTCCGAAAGTTTATCACCGTTTCCGCGTACTGAAATAATTGCAATATCCTATATATAGTCAAATGTCCAATTTTATTAATTAATTCGTTAATTAGCACGTGACAGACAGATTTTATAAAGTAAATTAAAGTATAATTACACTTTGCGCACATTGTGGAACGAGATACACTGTGCACTTTGGAAAGAGTACATTGTGATAACATTAAATTAAATTTTTTTAAATTAAATTATTCAATACAATTGCGAATTTAAATCCATATCCACGAAAAACACTAAAAATGCTTAATTTATCAAGTTCCCTGTTAACCGAGCTATATATAACCGTATTTCAATTTTCATGGTTCTTTATCTCAAGCAGTGACAAATAGTATCCAATGGATTAAGACAAACGGGGTCCCTTAATCTTAGTATCTTCTCAGCTAAATGGCCTTAAGGATTAACACGGCAATTTCACTCAAAAAGTTTATGCAGCTTACAATCACCCTTAGCGATGATTTCGCCGTCTTCGTTACTATCTCACAGCAATCCGATTGAGATATAATTATTAGAGTAATTAAAGTATTTAAATGACGAGAAGGACAGAATGTTTTACGACCGATTATAATTAGATATCACGAGACACGTTTTAACATTAATTTCGCGATGATCTCGAACTGCTAGGAATTTTTGAACTATGCTCTGCTTTCCTCTTTCACATGTTCAATATAAAATATTTTATTCCTGGTAAATTAGCATTTAAAAGTTAGTATTTTAAGATACTTTATGTTTTTTTTTTTTTACAAAGCTCCATGAACAAACGACGTTTAATATGAATAATCATCACACATAATTGGCAAAAAATAGAAATATTTTATATAAAAATTAATATATAATATAATTTTTGAATCTTTAATTTGTGCTTTCCAAAATTTATAATGAAATTTATAATAAATTTGCCATAAGTATTTATTAAATACAATCAAAAATTCAACTTATTAATTATTCGAATAATGATAAAAGAAATCATATTTCGATGATAAAATATTTCTTTTCAAAGAAATATTTTTTAAATAATATATTAACATAACGTCTTTATTGATTTATATTATATATAAAATAAATACTATTAAATATACAAAATTATAATATAAAATAAAAACAAGTCTAGATTTAAATATCATTAAATAATTTTGAAAGCAAATTAATGTTAAAAGGCAATAAATGTTTTTCTCGTATTATATAGTATCGATATTTAATATCATTAAATAGTTATATATATTATACGAAATTTTGTAGGTACTGGAATGGTGCGGCGTGTCTCTGATCGATCGGAGTTTCGAGGAGATACAACAAATAATCGAACAGACCGATGACGTGGTAGATTTGGTGGTAGAGCATTCGACCGAAATGTAAGTCAATGCATAAAGTAATATAACCATGAAACAATCGTGAAAAGGCCTAATGGTAAATCGATTTTCTGTACTTGTCGTGTGTTTCCTGGCGACTGATTTCTGGCACTCTCACCAAACAGCACCGGAGATATGCTGGATGATCCGCAAGCCGGAAAATCACCTACAAATTTGGGTCTGCTGATGGGTAAGTACCGACAGTAAACTTTACTAATACACGAATTATTCATTAATATTATTATACTATGTTTAAATATATATGAATACGGGGTGTCCTGTTACTGACAATAAATATTTTAAAGACAGATTTTTTGTAACATGTTAAGACAAAAATCTAATACAAAAATATCGAGGCTATGATTTTCTAATGGAAAGAGTTTAAAAATGACGGAGCAAGAATTTCGGTATTAAACTTTTCGTCTTAAAATGTTACAAAGAATCTGTCTTTAAAATATTTATCGTAAATGATGGGACACCCTGTATATATAATTCCCCCTAATATCACGTATTGTATATATTCATTATTATCAAAATACTAATTTTACATAAACCCGCAGTGTCCTCAATATACAAGAAAAAACCACATTTTATTGAAGATCGATATAAAAGTTAACACGTATAAAATTTCATTATGTAGTTTCGGTAAAATCGGCTATCGTTTATCGATTTTCATGCCCCAAATACGAGTTCTATGAAAAGCATTTTACATCCTAGACCAATACCGAACAAAATATTACATATCTTCTATTATAATACGATATCCATGTTCGTTGTAATAAAATGTTGTATAACACTGAATGCTTTTAACTAATCCAAGGTCAGTAGTGAAGATTATTTACTTCCAGCGGGTCATCATACGGAAAAGAAAATATTTAAAAAGGTAGCAGCGTAGGCTTGCCTGTATATATCGTTCTAGAAATAATGCTCCCAAAGTAATATGAGTAGTGTCTTTTTATACAACAGATAAAAGTTCCGTGATATTCTAGGACGAGAATGGCCTCTGACCGCTGACACGGTTTCGTTCTTATCTCGAAAATATCCGCAAGATGAATAAATATTTTCGTATTCTCTTGAAAATTTGCTAAATCTAGCATTTGCTTCCTTTGCTACATATACGTTAAAGTTCTCTGTATGAATTCAGAGTAGTATACGATTTTTTTACAAATAATTTAACAATACAAAAAATTGCACGTCTCATTTATGCGAAGCAAAGAAACAATTCTTAACTGTTATCTATGGTAGTTCATAACCCATGTACAATTGGCCCTTCTACTTATTATACTACACGAGAATAAAAAGTATGAATCAGAATTAATTATAAGCTATTTAGTTAAAAATTTTGAACTCGTTACCGTGAACAAGAATGCAATTCTCACTCAGCTACCAAAAAAAGAATTAAACTTTTGCCTGCAATGGCGAATTCTAAACTTTTAACTTGCGGCATTCGAAAGCTCATGAATAACTGAATAATTTCGAGCCTGTTTACTCCCGCGTGGCGAGAAAGGCCGGCTATAGAGATGTCATAGTCACTACGGAAAAACAGTGTCACGGAAGCAACATATGCGTCACTGATACGATGCATTTTAATATTATTTTTGCAGAAACCGAAACGGAGAAAGCGCCCTCGTCGCCGACGCGCAGGAAATTGCCAAAGACGCCGGTATAACGAGTTAATAAATTGACACCTACACACAGTGACCGTTTCTCTCTTTCTATCTTTCTCTTATTATCCTACACGATGTACACGATGCATACGCAGACTCGGGGATAAGCACGCTTAAAAGCCGAGAATAAGAGCGTAAGAAAAAAAAAAAGAAAGAGAAAAGCGCAGGGGAACAGCTGTGAACAAAAAGAAAACGTTCTCTTGCATAATCTCTTTGCTTTTGTATATAATATAAGTATAACTCAATAGCTTCACACGGCACGGACTGATTGTGCACACTCGAGAACTGTATACAGACAGGCGTGACGTGTGAAAGAGTGCGTGAGATCGCAGCTTTTAGCGTCTAACTAACGTGCAAATCAGTTAAAGTGAGTGAGCTACGTCATGTGCTGAAATGTATCCTAGGCGTTACGAAAGATTTATCAAAAAGCTCCCGTAATTATAATCAATTTTAATGTCTAGGTCTAGAGATCAATTTTGACAACCAAGAGACATATTCTGCAACAAGACTGATTTTACGTCTTCGATCTTGTGTTCGTTCATTTATGCGTGAGTTTCACACAATTCACCTTTCTTTCGATATTTTATATACAAAGTAAGAATTATCTGTCTTTAATTTTCACGAACTTATTTTATAAGATTTGAAAATTGACAATTGTCAATTTACAATCGCAATTTGAGATTTCAATTGTCCATTACAAGCATTTAATCCACGCATTTCTGTGTTAACAACGTTTATTAACCTTTACAGGATGGAAAAATTATTATAGTTGAAACAGTGTCATATTTTTGAGGCAAGAAATACGATAAAAAAAATATATTATAACAAATCTTACTCAAGGAAAAGCTGCAAAATTTTAAAACTAGGCCTTTAAAGGTTAATACTGGTATTTATATAATAAATGCGTTTAACTTTTGTAATATTATACAATTCCATATTTTGTTTTTACTACCTACATTGAAAAAAAGTTTGAAAACGAGAGACTATCAAATATTGAGTGAAATATAATTCCAATTAAAAATGTTCGATTAATATAACTAAAAATAATCCTTTTTTCCAGATTTAGTAAACTACCAAACAGTTGATTATATTATTATATTTGGTAATATTTACCAAGTAATTAGAAGAGTAATATTATTTTTGAATATTATTTCTCGTAACGTTTGACATAATAACTGTTACAAAAACCCTTTTTTATAATATATATATATATATATTTCACCACGTTTTGTTTATTCCCCGATTATTCTAGTCTTTACCGATAATACTTGAGTTACTTCCTAAATTTTATCTTTCGGTAGAAGAGAGTTTTACGGACCGGTAATCTTATCCGAACGCTTAGTCGGCACAGTCCTTAAGAAAGGCTGACAAAAGTCGAGTACTCAAGACCGAGCATTATTCCGCGAAAAGTAAGACCACTTGCATCACGCAGCTCAGCCATTTTATCCCGGTAAAACACAACGCGGCACAATTCTACTGCGCATTTTCACTGATCGCGAAGACTGTTACATGTAAATATTGTACGTACGTCGATGTAATGAACTATAACGATGTCGCTCCTTTCTTTTCTCAAAAAGCAAAGCATGTCATTCGCATTGTCACGGTCGCTTTAGATAGTCACGAAGATCGCATCGATGAAGGAAAAGTCTGATAGAAGATAGTATGATAGAGATAGTCGAGAATTGTGTAAGAACTTACTCTCATACGTGTTTCTGGAGAATTAGGTAATTTCAGGAGAAAGAACTGCGAGATAAAAATCCGACTCGATTGATCCATAATATATAGCGAGATAGTAGCAAGATAAAGTTTTTGATCTGTAGCAAAAACTTACTTCGAGTTTTCGTGATTTTAGAACTCCAGGCAGAAGAGTGTAATAGAAGTTATCGTAGCTTCCTAAACTTTAAAAGGAATGAAGGAAGATATGAGATTTTATCAATCGCGTCTTGTAAGATATTAATCGGATGTAACAGTGATACCAAAAAGTTATCGAAGCTTTTAAAGAGCTATCGAAAAATTTAGCAATTTATAAAATATGCATAATAATAGTCTTTCTTTATGATTTCACATTTATCGCGTTATGTTAGTTATTCTATTTCGACTATTTGGAATTATTTCTCAGCAAACGGTAGAGACGACATCAAGATACTTTATACAGCAGCGAGCAGCATACCATCCGAAAGATATTCCATGTCTGTGATGACACATTTTCGCAATTTTGAAAGAGATTTGAGTCCATTCTCTTTCCCTCTTTTTTACGAAAGTTACACGAAAGGATAGTTTCACGAGAATTCGATGATCGCATATTGGTGCCGTAACAGTTACAGAGAATTTATTATACTAATTTTGTTTCATTCTCCGTCTTTTTATTCGTTATTACCACGTGATTTAAAGCTTCGACGGGTATCTTACCAGACGTGAGAGTTTTAGAAAGGATGAACGAGATTCCTATCGCTCGCTTAGCAGCTGTAAAATTTCCTCGAATTACCTATCAGATGAAGTTTAAGGACAAGACTGTGTTGTAGCTGGTAAAAAAAAAAAAGTAATCGCTCGCGATTTATAGGTTCAACCAGTGCCGTGAATATCCGATAACACTCTGTACGTTCCAATGTCACGATACGTATAACGCTGTTGATATGCATGCTGCTTTCCAATCGATAGTCGACGGTCCTATGACTAGTTGAATACTCGAACAACAGGCAAGAGAATCTCGAAAAATATGCTACACGAATTATTCCATTGAATCGTACTCGCGCATTGAATATTACGCATCGCACGATCCGCGTTTAAAGCTACTCAATATTCGGATAGTATTCTTGCGAGATGTTTGTATGGATCCACAGTTAACGAACGTATCGCTAAAAGTAAACGTTCGCGTTACGTGATTGCCTGACATTTGTACAAAATTTAAAAGAACGCATTTTTATAAAGACGCGAATCTTGAACAGACATACAGATATATACGTAATTATTAACGAATCTTTTATAAAAAAAAAAGTATATATACATATATATATATATATAAAAATATAAAAAGAAAAAGGCATGCGCTAATGCTGATTTGCGTTCATTTGCATGTTCGTTTATTTATCATTTTTCGCCCGTAAGATTGTAATATTTAATCGTTGAAGTATAAGAACTCTGAATATCATTAACGGCACTGGTTACTATCGGCTGATATTGATCGTAGGACTTGTCGACGCGACTCGAGAGCAACTTAAATTTATTAGTACGTTGTATATGATCCCCTTAGGCCGTACAGCAGCACTCGTACAATCACTAGCAGAAATGCGCGTTACGGTGTACGCCGCTTCGTTTTTTTCTTTCGACGCAATCGCGGGGGTGTTCTTTCATATACGCCAGAATTTCACTAAACACTCGCGAGGACGTGAAAATTAAGAGAAGACAATTTTCATTCGGCTATTCGATAAAAAAAAAAAAAAATCGTTACATTTACGGAGATAGATGTAACGGATATTAAAGAAGTTGTAACAAGATTGCAAATTTTATATTTATCGTGTCAAAAAGAGATATTATTCGTTTATTATTCATGCCGTTATTGGCGATTTTAACGTCACTGTAAATATTAATAGATAGGATCGACGGTATTATCTATAGAGAAACGTACCTACAGTTGTAAAGTTAAAGGGAGTTAAAATTTCTCGTTGTGTGAAATGCTGTGACTAATTGAGGGAATCCACGTTTCGCGTATCGTTGGGCGATCAAATTCGCCGTCCTGGAATATTCGACGCTATACGAATTTCAATTTATTCTTTCCTTCCGCTCTCCCGCCTCCCCCTCCCCCCCATCCCCCGAGCGTCATTAATACGCAGAATTTCGAATGCTACCGAGACCTGTCGCATGTTAAAATAATTTAATCTGTTAGCTCTAAAACCCCAGCACCCCGGCCGTCGCATTTAGCGTTAATTCGATCGTTTACCGATGTGTCGCCGATTCATTTCGATGCGACGCAGAGTGTGTGTGTTATCGGTCTATCCTATATCGATCCTCCTAATTAATTATCACAACCGGACAGGACAGACGGCCGGGTGTGTAATTACATCGATCAATCGCGAGCTTACGAACACCTCCGTCCGTCGGTTTCGCGCATGTAATGGGGGGGGAAAAAAAGTCTAACGCGACACCGCAACCGATTTCTGTCTGAAAGAGAAAAGCTTTCGTACAATCAATCGTAGAGAATCGCCGTGTGAGCAGCCCGTGTGCTCATATCGTCTCCGGGGATTTTTACGAAAGTCATATCCGTTTTCGCGAAGAGTCAGCATCGGTCGCAAGATTAGGCATCTGGGAACACGAGTTGAAATTTTAACGTGTAAAAAAAAAAAAAGATTCATCGTTAGATTGTCACTATATAGAGCATCAAAGATTCGATAGATCCTACGTATATCCGTAATATTGTAAAATAAATTTGTAATACGACACGATTAATGAATTTTATAAAAAAAAATTAATTTTTAGGAAATTTATAGCGTACGGGATTGTTAACTACGAGTTGTTAATATGTGTGCGTTTAATTGAATAGATATATTGCGTTGATAAAATATCCATCGATTCAGGAAACATGCGGGATCTTTTGCATACGAATGAATTTTACTAATTGGAGTTGCAATTCTAATAAACAAAAGACTGTTAATGATAGAAGCAACGATAATTATAATAACAATAGCACTGATTGCCATATATAAACCAACATATATTTGATATAAAAGTAACATAATTATACTACGGATATGTTGAAAATAAATATATGATATTAAGCAATTAATGTTGTAGCAGTCAGGAATGCAATGAAATGAAAGATAAGTCCCGCAGATTCTTGCAAAAAAAAACAGTATTAATTTTTCTAAAAAATTTCTCTATGTAGGTATAAGTACATTTTATATAGTAATAGTTCTCTATTTTTAACATTATTATACCGATGCTATCGTATTGATATAATCCCATCTGAAAAGCCAATAACAATTGATCCAGAGTGTAAGAT